AATTGGCTCCATTGTCAAACTGCAACTCTCAGCATCCCTGACCTTTGATCCTGCTAGCTGGGGGTGGTGGGAGTTATAGTCCAAAATGTCTGGAGGGCACCAGGTTGGGGAAGGTTGCTTCAGGCTTTCCAACACATAATTTAGCTGTCTTTGATCTGATGGCTGTATAGACTTTACTGTTTTCTAATGCAGGTTTTTCCCCCTTGTTCTTTTGAGTGAATGTATTGCTGATTTTAGCTTGTATATTGTTCTGTTTTTAAATGTTAAATTGTCCTGGTGGTTTTGCAAATGGAAAGACAGTATTAAAAAACCATAAGTGAGACTGGTGATTGCATACTTTAACTCTAGCTCTGTTTGGAAACAAAGGAATTTATGAATGGAAAAAACCCAAACAAAACGAATCCACCAGGCAGGCCAATGACTGAATCATCTGCAGCAAATTCAAAGGTTACCCAACCAGTACAGCTGGTTATCTGTTAAAGGTTCGACCATTTTATTACAAACCAAACTATCCCATATATTCCATACCCCATTTCCTGTGCTTCTTGACAGGATACATCAAATCGTGCTGAAGAAGATAGGAGCGCATAGCAGCCTCTCAAGTTGTTATTACTGTCTCTAAGACAGGAATTGGGAACTTGTGGCCCTCCAGGCATTGTTGGACTACAAGTACCATCATCTCTCAACATTCATATTGGCTGAGGATGATGGGAGTCCAAGCGCATTAGGAGCACCACAGGTTCTGCAACCCTGGACCCTTTTCACCTTTTTCACCTCAGTATCAGTGGCCCTGGACCCTTTTAACCCTTTTTCACCTCAGTATCAGTGGCCCAGCTCCATTATAAGTGGAATGGCCATGTGTCCTATTTCAGAGGACAGTCCGCTCTCTGAATTAGTCCTCTGTATGACAGGGTTTTCTCTTTGAAGAGCTGGCCTACTCAGTGCTAGTTCCCTGTCCGTATCGTTATTTCCCTTTTATTATTGACTTCCAGGAGAAATTTAAAAGCATTCCTGCTCACTCAGGCATTTGATGCCTGAAAGATACGGGCCAGGACAACCTTAACATGAGCACTCCAAGGTGATGTGATTGCTCTAAAATGTTTTTAGATGCTTTCGAGTGTTTTCAGATGTGCCAGATGTTTATAGATTTGTAAGCTTGTTTTAAATGTTTTAAATATGTTTTTGATCTTATTGTTAAATGGTATTCTTTTAACTTGATGTCTGCTGGGCTCCTTTTGGAGGAAGGATAAGATAGAAACTTATGAAATAATAAACAAATAAACAAATGCTGCTTTAAATAGAAGAAAAGATAACAAAGGAGACACATGCAGCTCATATAAACCCAAGAAAAGCCTGTTGGATCAGGCCAATGGCCCATCTAGTCCAGCATTCTGCTCTCCCAACCAGATGCCTATGGGATACCCTCATGCAGGACCTGAGTGCAAGAGCACTCTTGCCTCCTGTGGTTTCCAGCATCAGCTATTGAAAAGCATTGCTGCTTCTGATCACTGAAACAGAATATAGGCATCATGCCCAGTACCCATTGGGACTTGCTTCTCAATGGGGCTGACTACTGCATAGACATGTAAGCTAAAGGTAAAGGACCAATGGATGGTTAAGTCCAGTGAAAGGCGACTATGAGGTAGCAGCACTCATCTCACTTTCAGGCCAAGGGAGCTGGCGTTTGTCCACAGACAGCTTTCTGGGTCATGTGGCTAGCATGACTAAATTGCTTCTGGTGCAATGGGACACCATGATGGAAACCAGAGAGCATGGAAACACCATTTACTTTCCCACCACAGCGGTACCTGTTTATCTACTTGCATTGGCATGCTTTTGAACTGCTAGGTTGGCAGGAGCTGGGATAGAGCAATGGGAGCCATCTCATTGCAGGGATACAAACCAACAACCTTTTGATCAGCAAGCCCAAAAGGCTCAGTGGTTTAGACCACAGCGCCAAGACATGTATGTGTCTTCTGCATAGTGGCCATGTCTCCCACATTACTGTCCTCTGTTTGAAGGGCTGCTGAAGTCCAATTCAGAAATAAAGAACCCTGAGAAATGAGAGTGATGGAAGGGCTTGCCGGTTTCCATCACCAGTGAACTCACCTTCTGTTGTTTCTCCATCATCAATTAGCGTCTGGAGAGCAGGCTGAGCAGGCATCTAGGGTCAACTGGTCAATCTCCCCTGCTGTAGTGAGATGACTATTTGCAAAAGAAATACAGTACGATATTTCTAAATTTGCATCTATACACATAAGTTAGCAGATGCATCCTCTGCATCCTCTTTGTTGGTTTCACCTTTCTTCAGCAACGTGGAAATGGACACCCACATTTTTAAGTCTAGTGTTCTCTGGGCAAAAGCTCTGTCTTTGGCATAATGGCCTTTGAGAAAACACCAGTAGTCACAGCTAAATATTTAGTTGCTGGATAGATTTCCAGCACAGAGGCTTAACAGCTATTTCCAGAGTTAGAGAAAATGGATGCATTTCTTTGCTGGTGTTGCAGAGATGTCAGTCAACCACTCTTTTGCTCCTGAGCCCGACGGTAATAGACTGGCTGAGAAATCTGGACACATTCATTGTACCAGGGGGACGCTGTGCTGCTGGAGTAATGCACATCAGATGAGATGTCACATTTCTCAAGGAAGCGCAGAGGCGTTAAGGCAAGCCAAATCTCTCTTGCTTATATTCCCTTTCGCCTGTCAGGGGAGTCAGGATGGGAATAGAATGCATAAAGTTTCCAGAGGTCCACCTGCATGGCAGGAGCTATTGAGGAAAGGAAGAGAGGTCAAGTTTTTTTTTTTTTTTTTTTTACATTTCCCTTCAAATATGGTTGTACCTGCTCACCTATAAATTTAAAGAAATCTAATTGGACAAGGTGATGGGTAGTGAATGCAAAACGCCACTTTCCATTTTAGGAATAAGAAAGCCATGTTTTTCATTTGTTATCAGAAGCAAACTCAACAGTGTTTTAAAATGGCCCTCATAAAGGTTTTAAGTGGAAGCCTGACATGCCACTACATAAAGCTGAATCTGAATCTTGGCATGTCAGGGGCCTGGTGAACAGGTTATTCCCATGATTGTGAATTAGACAGTTTTGCTATTCCGAGTAAGTTGCATTTCCTATTAAGGAGTGAGTAGTCTGAGGCTGAGGGATGTGGGTGGCGCTGTGGGTTAAACCACAGAGCCTAAGACTTGCCGATCAGAAGGTCAGCGGTTCGAATCCTCACGACGGGGTGAGCTCCCGTTGCTTGGTCCCTGCTCCTGTCAACCTAGCAGTTCAAAAGCACGTCAAAGTGCAAGTAGATAAATAGGTACCGCTCCGGCAGGAAGGTAAACGGCGTTTCCACGTGCTGCTCTGGTTCGCCAGAAGCGGCTTAGTCATGCTGGCCACATGACCCGGAAGCTGTACTCCGGCTCCCTCGGCCAATAAAGCGAGATGAGCGCCGCAACCCCAGAGTCGGCCACGACTGGACCTAATGGTCAGGGGTCCCTTTACCTTTTAGTCTGAGGCTGCTCATTGAACCATCATTGCCACTCACGGCCCAAGTGCCTGCAGTAGCATTATACTGGCACACAAAATATGACCGTTTCTAGACAGGGGCAACCTGTCAACAAAGATCTGTGCTTCATTCACTAGCCACAGGACTGGACTGTAGTCTTTCCAGCATACAACCATAAGTTGGCTTTTGAGGAAATCCCTTTAATGTGGCCTCAATATTTTATTATTTATTTTGTTATCTTTGATGTGTGCCTTAAATGCTTTCAGTGTAAGCTGCCGTGAGCATTTTCCCATGGGAAGGAAGTGTATGAATATATTAATAAACGAAAAATAAAACAAATAAAGCACCGAGTGGGCATTGCAAAAGTGATTAGACTTCAGAGCCTCCAGTTCCCCATTTAGAAACACAAATCGGAATCCAACACGGACTTCAGAGCACAAAGCCTACTCATTTATTTCAAGTCCCATTGAACTTTATGAGAATTGCAGAAGGGTACATTGTTTGGAGGGAAAGTTCCCATCGGAAGAAGACTCATCCATTTCAAGGTTCAGAACACACTAGGAAAGTTACAGCAAATGATGGGAAATTGAATGTGGGAAGGGTTGTCAAGGGAATCTGAAGGGGGGGGGAGGGATCTAACAGCTGTGAGAAATTCTGGGGGGGAAACGGCAACAGTGTCAGCTGTGTAAACAACCAAAGTACCTTTCAGTTCCCAATGCGTTTTAAAAGCCGGTCTTTCTCAAGGGAAATTTTGCTGAACAAATGGGTAAGGCTGTTGAATCTGTTCCTCTGTTGGGTGTTCTCCTGTCACATATTATGAGATAAGGCTGTAGTCAGATGCATGCTTACCTGGGAGCAAGTGATCTTGATCTCGGTGGGACTTATTCCTGCGTGGGCATGCTTACAAGTGTGCTGTTCTGCACTATAACCGCCCAAATAGACTTCAGAACTTGTCATGGTGGCTACTTATTCGTGAGGCAATTTTCCCCTTGAGAAAGACCACGGTTGAAAGTACATCAGGGATTGAAGATACTTTTGTTGTTTGCTGCTGCTGTAGCAGTGCTGTGTGGTATTTCTCCCCTCCTTTCCAAGCAATCGTATTAGCAATAGTAGTAAGAATCAATAGAATTTTATTGCTTCGGAAAGACAATGTATGACAACAGAGTGGGGATTTGCCCATTTTTGTTCTCTCTTAGTTTCTCATCTTTCCAATGTTAAGTTTGTGGAGTCTTTTTCAAAGTCCTCATGAAAGTCCTCATGAAAATTCATTAGCTGTTTAGTGTGAATTTCTCTCCCCCCCACACACATTTGCAGGAAATGATTGCCTAATATACACATTGTTAAAGCAATGCTTCCTAAGACAATGCATTTTTAAAAATGTTGTTTTGTGCATGCTTTCCCATACACATATGCATTTTTCTGAAATAATTTTTATTTGATTTTACATGTATAAAATTATAACTATATAACCATACACATCAACAGTTAAACGATTCCTCCGAATCTCTGGACTTCCCATCTTCCCTTCGATGGGTCCTTTTGTTAAACCTTTTCTGATGCATCTTTTTCAATAGTTCATGTTTTATATAACTCCATTATCTCCATAGTTCTTGCTACATTACAAGTTTTATTGCACTCCTGCTAGTGTTTTCATCTGCTTACAGTGGTCTCTAAGATATGCACATGCATTTTTGTACACATTACTTGGTCAGAGAACTGCATTGCTAAACCCAAGGGAGCACGGATTTTAAAGGACGCCTGCGTATCACCTTTCACATCGTTTTGGAAAGTGCAAATTATGTAGATTTGCCTTTAGTTGAGAATTGAATATCTCCTCCAACTCTATATGGAACGCCTAGCATCGGGGCTTAGCTAGAGCAGAGGGCAACATAGGGACACAAGACGAGTCCTGCTGGGTCAGACCAGTGGCCCATGTGGTCCAGCATCCTGTTCTCACAGTGGCCACTACAGGATTCGAGCACAAGTGCACTCTCCCCACCACTGCCGCTGTGGTTTCCGGCAACAGGTAATTCAGAATAATTTCTGCATCCAAATGTTGAGGCACAGCTATTATGGCAAGTGGCTGTTGATAATCTTGTTGCCCATCTTCTTTGAAAAGGCTAGTTGATGTCCATCACTGCCTTGTGTGTGTGTTTTCCATAGTTTCACTATGTGCAGCATGTAGAAATGCTTTCTTCAATCTGGCCTGAATCTTCCAACATTCTGGCCTGAATCTTCCAACATTCAGCTTCATTTCAACATTCTGGTGTTCGACCCACACCTGAATTTAAGGTTGAAAAAATAAGAAATGGAGAGAAGCCGAAGGTGTTAGATGCTCCCACCCCTAGCTCCATCCTAACAACTTTATTCAAAAATAAGATCCCCTGAGCTCAAATGCGGCTTACTTTTCCTGGTTCAGCAAACCTTGGACTGCAGCAGAATGTCTGAGTACCTGAGCGTATTGCTCACCCTTCTTCTTCCTCCTCCTCTTCCTCCTCTTTCAATTACATGTTAATCAAACTTGCTCCCTGTTTGTCAAGCAAGCAGAGGACAGCCCATTACACATTCAGCATGTGTGCAGATGCTCAAGTTGACTGATGATTAATTTGTCGGGAGCATAAACGGAATGGTGACACACACAAGGCTTCCAGCAAATTGAATGATGTCAGGAGAGGTTGCCTCTCTTCTATGCTTCAAAGGCAAAGGGGTGGCTGCAGCGAGAGGCTGTCACTCAAAGGGGGGAGGGAGCCCCAAAGATGATCTCTGCACATTTCACTCTCCATCTCTAACCCCCAACTGTTTCATCATCCTTTCTTTCATCTGCACTGGCTTTCCTTTTATTTCGAAGCACAGTCTCAAAGTGCTGCTTGTTTCCTGTGCTCCATGCTCTGACAACCTGCGGATAGAATTATTGCAATGTGCTGTACATGGGTCTTCATCTGAAGCAGCCCCCCCCCCCCCAAAATTCCCTTGCCCTAGAGGTGTAGCTAACATCCTCATTATACAGCTTTCATTGTAGGCTGAAAATGCATCTTTCCCCCCTGGTCTTTGACAGCTGAGATATGTGTTTAGGATCTGCTTTTATTTTTGTTTATGTATTCATTTTATTTGATTTTAAATTGCTTTGTGGTAACCCACACTGAGACCTTATGGTGAAGGGAATAAATCCTGTAAATAACCAAGCAACCAAAGAAAATGAGTTGCAAAGAGAGAAGTTGTCAATGTACCCAAAACCTATGAAAAAGATTTGTCTAATTTTGGATTGTAGTTTTGGCATTATACAAAAAATAGCTAGCTTTCTGAGAGATCTCCAAGGTATCAGTGCTCAGCAGACATTGCTACTCTTTGCTGGTTGCTTCTTCTGCGATGTGTGCATGGCAAATTGGCCATGCATATTACGCTGCCCTGAGCATAAATCTGCACTGTCATTTCATTGACACAGTGCATTGTGGACTTCCTGGCAAATCTCTCCCATGGCAAGTTGATGCCACACAACCGATACAATATGCAATGAATTCCCAATCCAGGTGAGAAAAATGATGAGCTGCCTGACTTCAGTTATAAAGTAAGGCACATTGCCCAAGCCACAAGAGAATTTATTCAGAGAAAGAGGTAGAGCCTGTTAAATATAATTGTTTAATGCACATTGAAATGGAAAATAACTCTGTAATATGTCTGTGTGTATATTGTGAAGCATGGCGTGGAAATTCCCATTGAAGCCAAAGGAGTGCTGAAGTGGAGAGCCTAATGTTACTATTTCTGTGCCTCATTGACAAGGTGAATTGTGTTACAAGTCTGCGCATATGTGGACCTCCGTCTTGGTTGGAGTGAGTCTTTGTTCTCAAGCTACTGGAAAGAATGGACGTGCTAATTCTCTCTGTAGGAAAACAGCCTCAGGCTGTTGGAAGAGAGACAGAACTTTGTTTTTTAGATCTGGATGGAAGATATTCATAATCTATTATAGTTTACCTATGTGAGATCGGCATAGGATCTTATGCACGTATCCGAATGTTGCTTTATTGTTTAAAGTTGCTGTGGAGTAGCGTTCTGTAGTAAAGCTTTTGAACCATATTTTTGGAGCAAAGAAATTTTCATTTCAAAGAAGAGTCAGTTTTTAGGCATCAAAATTGCTTCCATATGCAGAATATTAACAATCTCCATAGAGCCTAAGGCAAGAATGGTGCAGCAACAGAGGTACAATCCGTGACCCTGTTGTGAAGGGTCCCTGGAGACCGCTGAATGGGGCAAGGAGGGAAGGAGCAACCGTCTGCATGGAGAAGTTGGGGGACGTTTGCATCTCCTGAGCTGATCTGCACATTTTGCAGACTGAGGTGGGAGAACCCTGGACTCAATGCTATTTTTCCAGAAAATGAGGTACCGGAACTCCCCATGAACACCTCTTATAATGGCAATGGCATCCACCTGACAGGTGCTGGAACTGACTTCCAGTGAGTTCCGGCTGAAAAAAGCCCTGCCTGGGCTGTACAGATTGCAGCGTGGACAAGGCAGAGTCTTAGTTTTAATGGGTCTTTCCTGTAAACATTCCATGCATGCAGTAAACTAGTACATCTGGCAGAGGCCTATTCTGAACCATTCTTCCAAAACTGCTAGCTTACTACCTGAAGTGAGGTGGGGGTTTTTCCAAAGCACTGCACTAAAATAATGCCCTCCCCAAACAGCAGTCTGAAGTTCAGAATTCCCCTGCCTCAGTCTGGCATCTGTTTTGTTCCCATTGTTGTGGAGGAAGTAATGCAATGGATTTTTTTGGGTCCCTCACATATGAACATTCCCCGCATTCAGTCTTTGGCCAGGCAACACATTATGGGTAGACACACAGGCAAGTGCTTATTCATGGCTCTCCCTCAAATGATGCTCAGTGTGCGCGCATGTGGTATAGGTGACCAGATGTCACCATATTTGCACTTCTACAACCTAAGTGGCTGCTTTTTCATTCATCGGTTGTGGAAGTACTAATATGATGATGTCTTGTCACACATACAGTAATACCTCCACGAACGTCCACCTTGTCTAGCGTCCATTCCAGCAAACGTCCGCGGCAAACCCGGAAGAACCGGAACGGGTTACTTCCTGGTTTGCCACACACGCATGCACAGATGCAGCGCTTTGCCCTGTGTCCTTTTTGGAACAGATCCTGGCCGCAAAACAAGGTACAACTGTACTGCATGCACACACACTGAGCATTATTTTGCTTGTGGAATGGAATAAAGTTGCACAACATCTGTTGTATGTTGCCCCTGTCTCCTTTGGGCATGGTACGGCATCCAATTTTACCTGCAATATATGACCAACAAAGAATGAAGTGAATCCGTGTTAGCTATTTCTCTAAGCACCAACAACACTTGGAACAATATTTTCTCCCCCATTCTCTCTCTCGCTCTTTGGGTTTTATTATTTCCATTCATCTTGTAGAGTGTGGGATGAAAATGTGCCCTTGAGACGCTAAGCATGCACAGAAGTTTAAGTACCACCTGCCAGCAGAGATGCAGAGCTTCCTGCTTAAGATTTTCATACAGCCCATTCTTAGCAAAGGGCTTAACAGCTGTTCCAGTACCTACTGAGGGCATCCTGTCGATCGTCACACTTTTATTGCTGCACTGCTAAAATCTGAAGGCAGGCAAAGTAAGAGCGGGTATTAAAAATTGTGGTGAGCAGCATGTGAAATATTAGCTGTCGCCCTCTTTAAAATTACTTTGCCCAAGGAGTGAATAAGGTTCCTCATAAAGGCAGCAAACCTTTGGAAAGATCTGTTTGGAAACAAGTCTAACGCATGTGGAATTGGTGAAGCATACATCTAAATAACCTCGCTGAGAGAGGGCATGGTGGAGCACAGCTCCTTTCCTCGATTCTGGCATGTCTGAAGAGAGAGAAGGCATGCCAGAAAGAGTCATTGCAGCTACAACAGACAGCCACCGAACAGGAGAGGCAACAGCTTTGCTGGGGGGAATTATTCCCTGCCAAATAAAGTGGGACAGGACACACCCCTCAGGAGCCCACTTCTTGTTGTTGTTCTAGTCCAAGATACTCTAGGATTTGGCGTGCTGCTATTCTCCCACTTCTGAAGCAGCAAAACCATGCCACTGAGTCAAGGAGATAAGACGCACATGCAGGAGACAGACCTGGAGGGCCTCTCAAGACTGTAGGGCTGTCATGGAGGGAGTCATGACCTACCCAGAGATGTCTTCCACATCTCAAGTATTCCTTTCCCTTCCAGCCCTTGCTGCGTGCATCTTGCTTGACCCCAGTGAAGGGTTTTCTTTCTCAGCCAGAACTCTATGTTTGCTTCTGAACCTGGAGAGCTATGGAGACATGTAAACAGAATGCCGCTTTGTCTTATCAGAACAACGCAACTGTATATTCAATGATCTGTTCCATTCTGTAAAAGGTAAAGGGACCCCTGACCATTAGGTCCAGTCATGGACTCTGTGGTTGCCGCGCTCATCTCCCTTTATTGGCTGAGGGAGCCAGCGTACATCTTCCGGGTCGTGTGGCCAGCATGACTAAGCCGCTTCTGGCGAACCAGAGCAGCGCACGGAAATGCCGTTTACCTTCCCACTGGAGTGGTACCTATTTATCTACTTGCACTTTGATGTGCTTTCGAACTGCTAGGTTGGCAGGAGCAGGGACCGAGCAACAGGAGCTCACCCTGTCGCGGGGATTCAAACCGCCGACCTTCTGATCAGCAAGTCCTAGGCTCTGTGTTTTAACCCACAGCACCACCCGCGTCCCTTTCTGTTCCATTCTGTACTTCACCTGAAAGGGTTTAAGTATAGAGGAAAAATGTGGTAGACCAGAAATAAAGAAGGGCATTTCTTAACAAGATCTGCAATAAAAACCCTGGGGTGTACTGCTTGGCTTTTGCAGACTTTAAAAGTCTCAGGAAATGTACTATGGCTGAGAAATTAATCTTACATACTTGGAAAAGGAAGTTGAAGAGTGTTGGCAAAACAGTGAGCTTTTGTTGTTGCTGTGTGTTACCTGGTAACAATATAACTATAAATGAACTCAACGTAGAAACGGATCAGCTTGAGTACCTAGCTTCAGCCATCAGGTCAACAACAGATGACAAAATATACAAGAGCTATGCTTTATACAACTTTCTGGGTGTATCATTAATGATTTGGTGTCTGCTTTTGAAGAAGTTCTGGTTAGTAAAGCTTTGAATAATATTTATGGGTCTGGACAATTTTTATTCTAAAAGGTTTCAATTTTTGTGTATCCAATGGCTTCAAGCCGCACAATATGAATATCTGCAATACCATGGACATCTGGTTGGCCTCTGTGAGGCTAGGATGCTGGGCAAGATGAGCCTTTAGTCCTATTCAGCAGGTTCTTCTTACGTTCAGTTTATACAAATGCTAGTAATCGCTCATTCAGTATTACCAGAGTCCTTGAAGATTGTTTGCCTTCCTTTTGACAGTATCTGCTGTCAATATTTCTGAAAGGCACATCAAGGATTCTCCCTCCTTTTCATTCCCTCCCTTCTCCTGCACCTGAAGTCCAACTCAGATGTGAACTGTGCACCTCGTTGTATAATAATTGTGGGCATGCAGTTTCTAACAGATGGAAGCTCAAGCTGGTTCTTTGCCCCAGGTGTCAAACCTTCTTCAACTCTTCCAGCAACTTCAATAAGCAATTGGACTTGCCAGATGTTGTTAAGCCTAAGTTCTGTTAGTAGCCTCTGGCCTGTAGATTTCCATGCTACAGGGAGTGGGGGTGGGGAGGCGTGGAGGAAACAGCATAAGCCTGGTCTAACTGGGTCACCCTCTTAGATCAGAAAAGCCTTCTGCAGACAGCCTTTTGCTGTTTTACCCTTGGCTTCCCTCCAGTTGATAACATAGCTGCAAATTGCAAAGCAGAGGGTGTCAGAAGTTAACAGCTTTCCTATCACAACTGAAATGTGGCCAGGCCAGGATTACAGCAGGCACAACTAAGCCAGGTTTTTCCAGTAAATAAAAATATATGCTACCGGCAAGCACTCCTGCAATAATTCACAGAGACTTTCCCACTGCAAGATCTGGAGCACACAGACAATGTTCACCAGTTCATTATTTCTTACTAGAGGAAGGTCGTTCGGATGGGCACAGTCTGTGTGGAGGGAGGGCTAGCATATTATAGGGATGAACTAGCCCTTTTCAGAGGAATCACTCATAGGATCATGAACAAATGGACAGGGGAGTGGGGCTGTGCTGGCTAGCCACACCCTAGAGTCCAGCATTACCTCATGCCCCTTACGTTCAGATGAATTTGTGAAAGGAAATACAGCTGGATTTGTACTTCATGGGGAACTTTCCATCAGTCCAAATATCTCTACAGGCCTTTGGACTGGTTATATGTAAGTAAGTATGCAGGTAGGGTCTTCTGAGAGGTCTACAGAACATCATCATCATCATCACCATCATCATCATCATCATTTGCTGCTCATCTGATCTGACTGCGTTGCCCTAGCCACTCCAGGCTGCTCCCAACAAAATATAAAAAAAACCACATTGAAGCATCATCATCATCATCATCATTTATTATTTATACCCCACCCATCTGGCTGGGTTTCCCCAGCCACTCTGGGCAGCTTCCAACAGAACACTAAAATGTAATAACCTATTAAACATTAAAAGCTTTCCTAAACAGGGCTGCCTTTAGATGTCTTCTAAAAGTTTGGTAGTTATTTTTCTCTTTGACATCTGGTGGGAGGGCATTCCACAGGGCGGGTGCCACTACCGAGAAGGCCCTCTGCCTGGTTCCCTGTAACTTGGCTTCTCGTAGCGAGGGAACCACCTGAAGGCCCTCTGTGCTGGACCTCAGTGTCTGGGCAGAACGATGGGCATCAAGCATTCAAGACTTCCTTCTACAGGGATGTTTTCAGATGTCTTCTAAAGGTTGTATAGTTACTTATCTCCTTGGCATCTGATGGGAAGGCGTTCCACAGGGTGGGTGCCACTACAAAGAAGGCCCTCTGCCTGGTTCCCTGGTTCCCTTGCTTCTCACAGTGAGGGAAGTGCCAGAAGGCCCTCAGAGCTGGACTTGAGTGGAGGAAGCTCCTTTATACTGAGTCACAACATTGCTCCAGAGTGCTGTCCACACTGACCAGCAGAAGCTGGTTTCAGGAAGGGATGTCAGAGTTTTAACCTGTGACCTTCTGCATGCAAAGCAGATGCTCTATTGTGGCTCTGCATCAGAGTCCGCTGAGGCAGTGCCCCATTTAATGTACCAGCCTCAACTTTGTCTTATGGTTTGTTGATCGCATTGCATTGCATTTGCATTATTGCTTTATATAAATGAATGATTGTTCCATATTTACAGTTTCATGTTAAGAGAAGGTCCACATGGTAGGGTGTGGGTTTTGTTAGAGATTCTAAGCATGGTTTCAGTTCCTTGAGCTCCACCATGGAAGAAAGGCAGTGAAGATAATTTTTTTTAAATGACATTACTCAGTGTTTTCTTCTCTGACATATATAGTTCCTCACAATGCAAAAGGAACTGTTCGAGCACTAGAGAGCTAAGGAGGGCTGGCTGAAGGTGGCTGAAATATAGTCAAGTGTCGATTTCATGCTCTTTATTCAACTCATAGTAGTGAGGAATGGAAGTTTCCCCGAAATGTCTGCTTTATATACATTATTTACACAATGTGCCCCACGTGATTGGCTAATTCTGGGATTCTCCTGTAGGCCAATCAGGCTGCGGATTCACTTCCACCTGGAGTTGGATTGGGTGGCTCCTGCGGACCAGTCAGACTGCTGCATTCTGAATCCTATTGTTCTAGGACCAATCAGACTGCTGCATTTTGGATCCTATTCAACTCAGTACATAACAGTGGCATAAAGTGCATTGATAAAAGGATTGAGAAGTCCTCATTCTATAGATTGCTAATATAGGCTGCTTTACACAATTCTAGGCCCTCCAACAAGAGAATTAATTGCTGATTGATTCATTCCACACCAAGAAAATGTAATTCCGCATGAAAAAAAGAAAAGAAAAAGAAAACTGTATGTCATCAGTCAACTTGTCATTTGTGTTCTTTTAGGGGAAATGACTGGTTCTCAGAGAACAGGGGGGAGGGTTCTTGAGTCATACTGTGTTTCTCAAAAAATATCATAGTTAATTACCAAAAGCAGCTATGCCAGTAAGACAGCAGAGAAATGGCAAAGGCCTCCATTAATTACCCGCTTTACCTCCCTTACAAATTCTGTCTTTTTATAAGGCGGGTCTCTGACAGTGTAATAGATATGACAAAAAGAACAGTTTGCAACGTGAACTGTGGCTGTGCTGATTCCAGAAAATACAAGCAAGCAAAGTAATTGTTTTTTATTGGACAGACATCCACGGCTGGAATAATATAGCAGCTTTCCTTTGACTCTCACAAGGCCATTCTTTCTGGTAGAAGTGGAAAACAGAAGAAATATAGCAGTGGAGTCAGTTAGGAACGGGGAAGCTCTGAATTTATGTACTGATCAAATTCTGTTGACCTTGGGAACAGATAATAATAATAATAATAATAATAATAATAATGATAATTTATTATTTGTACCCCGCCCACTCTGGGCGGCTTCCATAGAAACCAAAAATACACTAAAATATCACAGATTAAAAACTTCCCTGAACAGGGCTGCCTTAAGATGTCTTCTGAATGTCAGGTAGTTATTTATCGCTTTGACATCTGATGGGAGGGCGTTCCACAGGGCGGGTGCCACTACCGAGAAGGCCCTCTGCCTGGTTCCCTGTAGCTTTGCTTCTCGCAATGAGGGAACCGCCAGAAGGCCCTCGGCGCTGGACCTCAGCGTCCAGGCAGAACGATGGGGGTGGAGACGCTCCTTCAGGTATACTGGGCCGAGGCCGTTTAGGGCTTTAAAGGTCAACACCAGCACTTTGAATTGTGCTCGGAAACGTACTGGGAGCCAATGTAGGTCTTTCAAGACCGGTGTTATGTGGCCTCGGCGGCCGTCACCAGTCTAGCTGCCGCATTCTGGAGTAGTTGTAGTTTCCGAGTCACCTTCAAAGGTAGCCCCACGTAGAGTGCATTACAGTAGTCCAAGCGGGAGATAACTAGAGCATGCACCACTCTGGCGAGACAGTCCGCGGGCAGGTAGGGTCTCAGCCTGCGTACCAGGTGGAGTTGGTAGACAGCTGCCCTGGATACAGAATTGACCTGCGCCTCCATGGACAGCTGTGAGTCCAAAATGACTCCCAGGCTGCGCACCTGGTCCTTCAGGGGCACAGTTACCCTATTCAGGACCAGGGAGTCCTCCACACCAGCCCGCCCCTGTCCCCCAAAAACAGTACTTCTGTCTTGTCAGGATTCAACCTCAATCCATTAGCCGCCATCCATCCTCCAACCGCCTCCAGGCACTCACACAGGACCTTCACCGCCTTCACTGGTTCTGATTTGAAAGAGAGGTAGAGCTGGGTATCATCTGCATATTGATGGACACCCAGTCCAAACCCCCTGATGATCTCTCCCAGCGGCTTCATATAGATGTTAAAAAGCATGGGGGAGAGGACGGAACCCTGAGGCACCCCACAAGTGAGGGTCTAGGGGTCTGAACACTCATCCCCCACCACCACTTTCTGAACACGGCCCAGGAGGAAGGAGCGAAACCACTGTATAACAGTGCCCCCAGCTCCCAGCCCCTCTAGACGGTCCAGAAGGATGTTATGGTTGATTGTATCAAAGGCCGCTGAGAGATCCAGCAGAACTAGGAAACAACTCTCACCTTTGTCCCTAGCTCGCCGGAGATCATCAACCAGCGCGACCAAGGCAGTTTCAGTCCCATGATGAGGCCTGAATCCCGATTGGAAGGGATCCAAATGGCCCGCATCCTCCAGGCGTGCCTGGAGTTGTTCAGCAACCACGCGCTCAATCACCTTGCCCAAGAATGGAAGATTTGAGACTGGGCGATAGTTGGCCATACTGGCCGGGTCTAAAGATGGTTTTTAAGAAGCGGTTTAATGACCGCCTCTTTCAGCGGATCTGGGAATGTTCCCTCACAGAGGGAAGCATTCACCACCCCGCAGAGCCCATCGCCCAGCCCTTCCCGGCTTGCTTTTATTAGCCAGGATGGGCAAGGATCAAGGAGACAGGTGGTTGGTTTCACGCGTCCAAGCAGCCTGTCCACATCCTCGGGGGTAACGGATTGAAATTGATTCCATGCAACTTGACCAGACAGAGCTCTAGCACTCTCCCGCCCCAGCCCTGCTCCCACGGTGGTGTCTAGCTCCTTCCGAATATGAGTGATTTTATCTGCAAAAAAACTTTGCAAAATCGTTGCAGGAGATCTTGGGGTCTTTACAAGGCCCCGGTGGTAAAGGTGGTTCCGTTAAATTGTGAACCACCTGAAAGAGTCTCCTGCTACTATTTTCTGCAGATGCAATAGAGGCGGTGAAGAAAGTCTTCTTCGCCGTCGCTATCGCCACTTGGTAGGCTCGACGTTGAGCTCTAACCTGTGTCCGGTCAGATTCGGAGTGAGTTTTCTGCCACCGACGCTCTAGCCATCTCAGCGATTGTTTCATCGCCCTCAGCTCCGAAGAAAACCACGGGGCTGTCCGGGCTCCATGCAATCGGAGAGGGCGCTTCGGAGCCAGACAGTCGATAGCCCTGGTTAACTCCGCATTCCAGCGGGCCACCAGGGAATCAGCTGAAAGGCCATCAACATGGGATAAAGCATCCCCTACCACTCTCTGGAAACCATTTGGATCCATTAAGTGGTGGGGGCGGACCATCCGAATTGGTCCCACCTCCCTGCAGAGGGGAAGGGTCGCGGAGAAGTCCAGTTGCACCAGGAAGTGATCTGACCATGGCACTTCTTTTGTTTCACTTTTACTTAGTGTCAGATCACCCACGTCACTAGAGGTGAACACCAGGTCTAAGGCATGTCCATGACTATGAGTTGGGCCAAACTTATTCAGGGACAGCCCCATGGAGGCCATGCTTTCCACGAAGTCCCGAGCAGCCCCTTGTAAGGTCGTGTCGGCATGGATGTTAAAATCCCCTAGGACAACCAAGCTAGGTGTCTCCAGGAGAAAATCCGCCACGACCTGAAGCAGCTCGGACAGGGAATCCTTGGTGCAGCGGGGAGGTCGGTACACCAAAAGGAATCCTGTACTGCCCCTATTGCCCAGCTTCCTGAACATGCACTCAGAAAACTGGGTCTTCCCATTAGGACGCCCGGTGCAAGCTAGTGACTTCCTAAAAATCACTGCAACCCCCCCTCCCCGCCCACATGACCTGGGTTGCTGTGCGTAAGAGAAACCTGGTGGGCAAGCAGCGGCAAGGACAGGCCCATCTGCTTCCTCCAACCAGGTCTCTGTCACACATGCCAGGTCAAATCCTCCATCCACAATCAGGTCGTGGATGGCAGTGGTTTTATTCATCATTGACCTGGCATTACACAGCAACACCTTCAGGTTATGTGGGTTTCCCCTGTTGATTCCAGTATCCATCCGGTCAAGGCCAGACCCGGAGGCAGGGATAGTCTTCAAACAACGACTAAACCTGCCTCCTCAGTAATGACATGGTCTGGTCTTAGCATAACTCCGCCTCCTGCCCATGATCACCGAGATCGGATGTCCCAGTGCTTCCGCCCCTGTGGAACTTGTCCCAGCCATCGTGTTGGCTGGGGCCCCACTCCCAGGCAGCCCTGATCCCGCCCCTTAAAACAAAACACAAACTATACAGAACCAATAAAACAACAACAACAACAAAAGGAACAGAACAATTATACTAAAATTAATCCCCAACCAAATATCCATCCCACCCACCCACCCCCAACAAAGGAAAAAAGGAAAAAAAGAAATACAAATTTAAATTGCCACCGACTGCTTGAGGACATTTTAAAGCACATTAACCACCTGGAACAGGGAAGCAATGGCAGAACACTTCCCACACTTCCCCAAAGTTTTGTTCCAAATAAGGGCCTGGGCCACGCCCCCTGGGCCAGTTGGAAAAGGCCCTGGAAGGGAGCAGGCCCTGCAGTCCTCCCCACAGCCGATGGTCCGAGGCCTCACCGCAGCAGGAGTCCCTTTATAGCTGGAAAAGTGAGGGCCTAGGCCATGCCCCCTGGGCCAGCTGGAAAAGGCCCTGGAAGGGAGCAGGCCCTGCAGTCCTCCCCACAGCCGATGGTCCTGTTTGAGGTAGATCGCCTCTTAGAGATGAACATTTTACATCTCTAAGGAGAGAGAAACACAGGAGTGCTCTCCAGTTTTCATATGCAGCAGGCACATAGGAATACAGGAAGCCGGCTTATACTGAGCCAGACCATTGGTTCATCTAGCTGCACTGACTCGTAGCAGCTCTGCATGGTTTCAGATTGGAGTTTCTTCCAGTCCTACTGGAGATTGAATTGGGTGTTGGAATAAACAACAACCTTTAATCAATAACACAGTTTTGAGATGAAAAAGTCAATAGAGAGTTGATATATATAAGGAACAGGACATTAAGTGAACTGCCTGAGATGTGAGTTTATTTTCCCTTTCACCTTTCCTGCTGCCGTAACCAGAAATGTATTAGGGTGTTAAGTAAAGATTCAGTTTAAATTTTATAGCCATGTCTGCCTTCTTTGAGGTGAGATGAAGAACCTGTTCTGCAACACCTTGGCCTTCTGCTTTGCCATTATGCTGTGGTCCTCCCCAGAATGGCTAGGTATAAACTAGCCATTTTTGTGGACAGAAATCTTTCCCATCCAGGGCCTCCACCCCCGGGAACTCACTGGAACTCAGTTCCAGCACTTCTCAGGTGGGTTCCGGAACCTCTCAGGTGAGTTGCGGATTCACTCAGGTGGGCACCATTGCCATTCTACAAGAAAGAGGGAGGTGTTCCTGGTGAGTTCCCACACTCTTATCCTAGAAAAATAGCACTGCCCATATCACACAAAACATACCAAGCATCTTTAAAAGGAAAGAGTAAAGGGACCCCTGACCATTAGGTCCAGTCATGGCCGACTCTGGGGTTGCGGCGCTCATCTCGCTTTATTGGCCGAGGGAGCCGGCGTACAGCTTCCAGGTCATGTGGCCAGCATGACTAAGCCGCTTCTGGCGAACCAGAGCAGCGCACAGAAAGCCGTTTACCTTCCCACCGGAGCTGTACCTATTTATCTACTTGCACTGGCATGCTTTCGAACTGCTAGGTTGGCAGGAGCAGGGACCGAGCAACAGGAGCTCATCCCGTCGCGGGGATTCAAACCACCGACCTTCTAATCGGCAAGTCCTAGGCTCTGTGGTTTAAACCACAGCGCCACCCGCGTCCCACCAAGCATCTTTACTTAGAAGTAAATATATATTTCATACTTTACCATTCAGCTACCTTCCTTGGCTGCTACTACTCCGACTCTATTTCCTTCCTTTTCTAATCTAACATGCCCAGTTCCTTCAGCCGTTGCTCAAATTTAGCCAATTCATCATATCTGTGATCTTATCAGAGTCCTTTCCAGTGCTTTGCCAGCGTCTGTTTGAACTCTGGTGCTCAGAATTGAGCATGGATGCCATCTTACCAGCATCAAGCAGAAATATAAGGGCACACCATCAGGTTGGATTACTCATGGGTGATAAATTAGAAAATTAAACTGTCACAATAATAAAATGTATTGGGTAACACTCCCAGCCTCGCTGGCTAGAAATTATGTTTCTATTTTTGGCAGTTGCCCTTTAGATTCTGATCTTTATATTTATTATAGCAGGCTGCAGGAGAAAAGAATAGTAGTACTAGCAGCAGCGGTGGTGATTGTATAATTTAATAAGCTTCACTGTGGTTCCTGAAAGCGGTAAATTGGTGCTGGGAGCCTGAGTAAGGTAAACAGACAAGGCACCATGAGCTATTCACTTTTAAAATTTACTTTTTGCAATGCTTTTATGTGTGTTGGTTTTTCTCAAAACACAACTCTTCTTTACTTAAAGGTCCTGGTCATCACAAGCTATTTGTTCTGGGTATTTATGCATGTCAGTGTTAAAAGGGGCAGTTCTACTGATTGGCGTAAAGGTCTACGCAATTGGCTTCTGAGTCAACATGAAAACACGCTGTTTGACCTTCTCCTGGGCACTGAAGCCACTCCATTCTTATATTCCTTGAACATTATTAATAGAGAATGGGAAAAGGCATTTCACAGAGTACTTTCACATTACAGCACATTAGCCCAGCTCCCCTTCTTCTTGACAGAAGAAAGAATAGCTTTCTTCTAACTTATACATATTTCCTTCATTAATATGGAAAGCCGGGCTCTGTCAAGAGACAGAATGAACAATAGATTGAGAGGTACTATTTAAAGGTAAGAAAATGGACAATTATTTAGCCAATTTCCAGGCACAATTTACAGTTCTGCTTTTAAGCACCAAAGTCTGGGAACAGGTTACCTGAACAACTGCAAACCCTCCAAGTGACCCTATTTTCCAGGGACAGTCCTAGATTTATAGAAGCCGTCCCAGTTTCTGATCTGATCCTGGAAAGTCCCGTTTTCCCTTGGGACATCCCTATTTTCATCGGAGAAACGTTGGAGGGTATGGAGTTATGCAAACCCCCGAGCCAAGCAGATAAGTAACTATACAACCTTTAGAAGACAACTGAAGGCAGCCCTGTACAGGATTTTGCTTCTGCTACTTCTAAATAGCATTTGTTTCTATGGTTATTTTGCATTTAGTTTTTAAGAAAGTTATTTAATATATGCTGCCCAAATGATGCTATGTTTGTCAGTATATGAAAGCATCGCAGCAGCAAACAGCCAGCTTGTTGACATCACAAGATGCGGCTATCTGTGGGAGAGAATTTCCCCGGATGTTCACAGGCTTCTCAGAGCTCTGTGAAGAGTGTAATTTGAAACCTTCCGTTTGCGCATGTACAGGAAGTTTGTCAGACTTGCTAGAAGAACTGAACTGAAAGGATGTGTTTTTCTCTAGTGCTGTAGTCAGAAATAAAAGAATGGAGATAAACGTTTCTGACTGTCTCCTTTTCCCTGCTAGGGAAGAAGCAGGAGGAGGGGGTGTGCATTTACCCACGCTTGGGAAAATGTCGCCTATCAAAATCTCCCTGGTCTGTCTGGATGTCAGCCAGAGGAAGTTACCGGTATGCAAGCTCTGAGGACAGTGAGAGGGGCCAGCCTCTGTGGAGGGGGCTTGTAAACCAACAAATGGTAGCAGAGCCTGATGGTTGCTACAACAAGTGATAGCACGGCAGATGGCTGAGACTGTGAAGCACTGCTAAAGACGGCTGAAGTACCAGGTGGGAGACGTTATTTTGCTGATAAGCAACGATCCACGTACCTCTGCGATTGCTGATTTATGGCTGGATGCTGAACGCGAATTGAAATCTTCTTCGGTTCATGGAGAAAAAAGCTCCTGTTTTGGATAAAACAGAGCGGAGAGAAGCCACATA